GGTAGTTTTAAAAAAAACATTGTTAATTTAAATATTTTACTATACATTATACGACTAGATTCCTATTTTCAATCAAATTATTAATTTGAATATGTTCATTTAAAATTAAATATTAAATAATTAACTTCTTAATTTATGAGATATTAGACATTTATCATTCCTCAGATAATTATTTAATATTTTTTTTTATTCAAATTTTTATTTTAGATAAAAAGTGGATCGATTGCATTAGAACCTTGTGAAATAAAACGCCTGATCCAACGTCAAGTGCTTTTAACTTATCCACTAGGTACAATGTTGACAATTAATGGAAGCCGTATATGTGGTGGAACGGATGAAACTATAGTCCAATATATTCCATTCGATGAAGATAATTCAGATAGTTTAAAATCGAATAAAACCGAGTCTGAACTCGATAATTGCACTATTGTCAATCATGTTCCTGCTGTTTACTTAACAAACTTTCAAGTGTTTAATTTTATAAACACGAGACGTGAGGAGATGTGTGGTAATTATAGTGCAAAATCGGATCTGTTAAATCATAATGAAGACCATTTACCGAATAAAACATCAGAATTAAACGATGACAGTTTAAACATTTTATGTCACTCAGATGAGACAGTGAAAAGTATCAATGACACGAATAGTACCACAAAACCAAAGGTACAGCAAAGTACACCGACAGAAAGAAAGTCAACTCTAGATATTGTAAGTAATAAGTCCAATTGGGACATATTCACTAATAGTTCGACAGACAAGAATGATTCACACATTCTTATGACATCGACTTCAAAAAATAATGATCCATGCATCAACCATGGTTCTGTAAATATTTACACCGATGAAATAGTTCATTATGTAACAACCCCATCATTTAATACTAACCACAGTGTACCTGGTAATCAACATAAAACTTTAACACGAAGCAACTTTGAAAACTTACCTGGCTTATCTACTGAAGACCGCAATGTAGTTGGTATGGTTCTCTCCACTACACCAAGAAATCATATACAAATTACAAGTAAATTAACTGAAACTGTAGCAAATTATCAACATATTAAACCACAAAATAAATCTTCGAAAAATTGTATTATTAATCATCATGACCATGTACGTTTATTTATAAGAGTTCATTGATTACATTTTTTTTTTAATTTAATTATTTACTAAACCATAGTAAAAAATTAATTCAGGTTTAATACACATTGGATATAATATAATTTTTTATATTTAATGAAGTCGCATCTAATTATTTAAATATAATTTGATAATTTAAACTCAACGAATAATAGTTTTATTAATTAAAAAAAAAGAAAAGAAGAAAGTAATTATTGCACTATAATTTTAAGTGTATTTTACGAAAATTACGTATTATATACTTATATAATTTATGTATTATTGTTATTTTTCTTTTTAGCAACATGTTAGATTCACTAGTTACAAATATAATTATTGGAATAGATACAGGACACTGTAGAAAGCAAAAAAAAAACTATTACTTAAATGAAGTCATACTGGGTTACTTTTTATATTATTACAACATTAGCAACTGTATGACTCGCAATAGACAAACTCTTATAAGTTACAGTAAACATAAGTTGTGCTTGATATTGAAATTGTGATCAATCACTATATTATTAATATTATTAATACAAAATATTATTAATTCATTCCAAGAGTGATATCATCAAAATTCAAACTATTATAAATTTCCATTGACCGTAAAACAGAATTTTCTCTAAATTAATATAAAGTTCATTGCATATTTAAAAAAATATATCGAAATATTGTGAAATATGTTATTGATTTTTGCATTTTATATTTAAGTATATATTTATATAAGTAATAAATAATTGAATCCAATAATTTCAAACTAAAATAATAGTATTATAATTAATAAATTAACTATAAAATATGTCAATATTAATAAAAACAATTCAAAAAGAAAATATTTTTTTAATCGATTATATGTAGGTGTCTGAGTGAAAATTTAATGCACCTAAGTAATATTTTTACTGTGCTTGTTTACAGAATATTTTTATATTTGGTACAGTATAATATAATCAAGTTATTTTAGATGTTTGAACCAATAGAATAGTGAATATGCAGTATATATTGAAATATACATTGGTGTAGAAAGTTCAAAGACTATTTTTAAGTCATATTAGATATTGTATTATGGTAAATTAGTATAACACTAATTTCAAATTTGATATGAGCGCACGATAGTGCGCCGGCCAAGTTCCAGCAATGCTAGTGTATCTAGTGTAACGAACCAATTCGCCCGATTATTCTAACCCATATATCTCTGTTTCCTCTTAAGATAAACTTTTGAAATTTAAAACACAGATTAATCTTGAGTAGCTTAGGACGCTGTAAGAAAATTAGCTCTTGACATTGTACCATTTTAAAACGGGAGAATTTCAAAATTTGCAATTTTATTACTGACTTCTCACTGATCATCAACATTATAAAACACTTCCCGTACAGGTAGAAACTTGAAATTTGGTACAAAGGTAGGTTTTATAGTTTAACTAAAGGGAAAAATCTAAAAATTTAATTTTTTTTAAAATTAATGCCGCTTTAGAGAGTGTATTTTTAAACGTATAAAGTTCCGCGCTTAGCACGCATAAACGTTTTCTGAATACACCTCCAAGGGCGCTCATATGGGGGACATGGGAGGGACATGTCCTCCCTTGGAAAATGTCAAAAATCTTGGAAAATTGTTTACTATGATCAGAAAATATTTATTAAAATAGAATTTAAAAATTTAATTTACTATATGAAAATCTATAATTTGTTTATGAAAAATCTGTTTATTTAGTTTGGAAAATCAGGTTATCAGCTAAAAATAACAATAAGCTTTTTCGTTTCTAATCTATGGATAATTATCAATTCTTAAAATAATTTTTATTTCCAGAAATACGGTATGTATATACGTGTGTGTACACAACCATAATATTTATATAATATTTGTAGATTAATATTTTAATAAATATAACTAATGTTTTAAGTGTCCAATTTATATTATTAATTAAATAAAAATTTCAATAAATTACTTTTATGGAAAATTGGTTAAATAATTATTATTTTATAGTCTTCCAGTTTGATATATACATAATGTAATAATATAATCTAAAATTGTAAACCCTTTCCTATATCGTGGGTCATTCAAATTTATGAATAGATTGATAAATTAAAATGTTGTCCCCTCCTTTGAGAATTTTCCTATGGGCGCCCTTGCAACAGTCTTAAAGAACTTTGTATAGGGCAGACTTCACAGATATTCAATTTAAAAAGTATCGACGACGAAAAATAAAAGACTGTACTTGGCTATCATTGCAACGAATTTGAATTGACAACGAACAAGAATCCAATTTCTCAGCTCCTCAACAGAAACCCAAATAGTCTTACAAGAGAAAAATCTATGACATATAAATATATTTCAAGTGAAATATTTCAAATTTACAACCCTAATTATAGTGTTAATATATATTACGTAGGGATAATACTATAGGTATAGTCGATAATGTATAATACTAAAAATAGAACGAATTACGAGATTAAGTTTCCCAGCCATATTTCAACCAAAAATCCCAATGTAGGTTCATAAAAATACAATTCTCGATATTCTGACAAGTTAATAATTAACTAAAATAATAAATATTTATTCAATTCAATTTTTTTTTAAAATACAAATAAATAATGATATTATCGACTTTTTTGCCGTCCTTAAATATCTTGCCGCCTGGAGCAATTTCTCCTTTTGCCCCTTCATGATGCACCCCTAGTTATTATGTAAATATATAAATACCTCAGCTGGTTTACCCAACTTCATTCGTGTTAGCTTTTAATTATTTTTAATAATTTTTTTTATCATTTCTGTTTTATCTGTTTTCTAAATACATGTGCACGATTCTTTCTTGTTCTGATTCTTTGAGCTATGTTTTTTGCCGTGATTTGATCGGCCGATTGAAATTCTCTTTCAACTGTGAATTTTTTGAATGTATAAGTAATAATGTTGTTTTATATTTTTTTAGATCCCCAAACTTTCATTTAGTACCGCTATTTTTAATCGGTATTCGAATAATGATAAGTTGTACTCGCCTAGAACACTATGTATTTAGAATGAAGACAGACGAAATATTATTATCCTAATAAATAAAAGTAAGCTTTTATAACAAAGAAAACGGTGTATAATTGTTCAATAATTATACCTAAAAAATTGTTCTTATTATAGCATTATAGTTCGAAACTACGAGTATGAAAATAATATCATATTTATAGTATTTTTCGGTTTATTTATTTTTTTATAATAATTATTGTGTTGTGAATTATTAGTCATATTACCGGATAAGACTTGGGATATTAATAATTTGTATATGTTTGAGTTTTCTTTTTAATTAATATATTTTTTATATTGAACTTGTTAAATAACAATCGTTATTGTTCTATATGAGTATAATCTGATTGGGTAGACCATGATTCCGTATGTTTGTCCTTTTTTGGCTACACGATTGCGTATGTTTGTAGATGGACAACAAAAAAGTAAATAAGAAAAATAAATAAACACGATTGCGTATGAAATTGTATGCAACGTTGTCAAATTTACTAATTTCACCGTATTATACTAATGAATATAGTATACATATACATATACATATAACAGTGCTATAATAGTTCATAAAAAAAATTAATAATAAAATAATAAATAAAATGAGGATAACTGAATAAAAGAAAATAACTAATAAATAAATATAATAAACAGTTTTTATTTGAATAAAATTATTGTTAATAAATTATTTGAAAAAGCTTAAATTTGGTTTCCCTATCATCTATAACTTGCTACTTTTACTGAAACTCGAAAAATACCGTACAATATAACGAGAATAACGAAATTTCGTTATTTTTATTTTTTATTTTATTTTACAAAACAGGCCGTGGCCCAAAGTACAACTTTTAAAGACACATACATACAGATTTAATTATAATTTAATAAGTTATACAAAAGTGAAATTGGGGATGTTCTCGTTTGTAATGCGCATAATTTTGAAAATAGATCTGTTAAATGAATAATTAGTGGTACAGATGGGGATGAAGAAAGGATAAAGTGATCGAGGATGGAAGTTAGGGATTTTGAAATTAATTTCACATAATAAATCAGGACATTCGATTGATCCATCCATAAACTTTCTCAGAAAGTCTTGACTAGCAGAAATACGCCTATCAGCAAGTGTTGTTAACCCAAGTTTAGCTAATACTGGCTCATAGTCGTATGGTTGGTGAGTAATATGGAATACCCTGGCAGTAAAATATAAGAATTTTCGTTGGACTCCCTCTACTTGGTTCTTAGCAATTACGGTATTAGGGTCCCAAATAACCATCACATATTCTAGAATAGGTCGTACAAGAGCACAGTACAATGATTTTAACGGGGCTAACAAGTTAAATTCATTGGAGACTCTCTCAACGAAACCAAGTGTTTTAAGTGCCTTACAACAGGATTTTTTCAATATGATCATGGAAGTTAAGTTCCCGATCAAATGTGATACCGAGGTCATTTGCTGTACTATGAACATTAAGGGATATTTCTTTTAGTAAGTAATTATACATAATAGGATGATGAGTTCTGTGGAAGGACATAGAGTGGCATTTGTGAATATTAAATTCTAAACCCAAATTATCAGCCCAATCACTTAATGCATACAAATCATTTTGAAGCAGTTGGCAGTCACTTACACAGCGAATTTTTATAAATAACTTCAGGTCGTCTGCAAATAATAAAAATTTACTATTTCAAAAAA